AGAAAAAAAGAGGTTTTTCAAACAGTAGTGAACTACAACAACAACAATACATTTTATATTATTTTAATTAATTTAATTTTTAGCTAACTATACAGTTGTTTCGAGTATTGCCAAATACTCATATTCGTAATTAATTTTTTGAGACTGCAAGTACCAGGAATCGAACTTGGGTCCTGCCAAATTTAAAGCTCAGAGTCAGCGCACCTTAACCAACTGACCCAAAGCCGTACTTGACTTTTATGTTCACACATTTTTCTGGAGTTTTGTTCATTTGCTGTGAAAGTTTAAAATCATAAGAAAGATGTAGAATAATTGAATTAATTAATTATATTTTTATTTTTAATTTTTAAATTTCAAATTTTAGAAAAAAATTAATTTCATCAGGAGAAGTATATTTCGTTGTTGATTGAGTTAATGACAATAATGTTATTCTATGTAATTCACTAAACTTTAGCTGATATCATATTTTAATAAAAGTTCTTTTACAAATCACGCCAGCCCACATCTGTTTGGGTACACTGACAACCGACAACCGACAACCACAAACGCCTATACTTCAAAAACAAATTAAGTTCATATTGCGATATCGCGATATCGCACAGTAAGTGAAGTAATTCACACACATTTTCAAATTCAAATTTGTATGCAAATATCGGTAAGAAAAATAATTTCTGGTTTTCTGGTTTTCTGTCTTCTGAGCGCCACAGCTCCAGCTCAGTGTTTGGTTGCTAGCAGGATATGCAAAACCACAAAATCGTAGGCCCATACAAGAAGTCGAGTTGTTGCAGAAGTGCGTGGCTCGTGGTTGGGTTTCAAATTGTGGCTACCGTTCACCACCAACACCAAAAATCGTTTTAATTTCGTTTTGAATGCGTTTTGATCAGAATTTCATCAACATCGCGCCGTACAATAATCGGCTCGGCGTCTTGTGCTTTTATTCAGCAAAAGAATAAAATTATTCAAATCGAAAACATGCATTGTTACTCATACTCATATGCATTCATATATATGAAATACAAAACAAAGATTATTTGAATAATATCTCAGTTCACTATTCAAAGTCAATGTGCGCATTAAACAAAAATCAAAAAAAAAAAAGAAAAAAAAATTACTTTAATGTGAACCCGAAAAATGTAGGCGTTTTTTCTGCAATAAAAACTTCGATGAATGAAACGATTTTAGATTCATTTACACATTGAAATCGATTTCAACACCGTTTTTGGTTAAAACCACTTTGTGTATTGGTTTGCTTTGAGAGTTATGAGCTTAATTACTTTGAATTTGAATTTACATTAATAAACAATAATAATGTAGAAAAGATTTAAATACTTCTTGTCTGGAAACTAGAACAACAAAGTCAATGAAATACGCTGCACTTTATCCGCAAATTAAAATTTCTTTAAAAGTTTATTAAAAATTATATATTGATAGTAACAGCTATAGTTTGTCCCTTTATTGATATTTAAATAATTTTTAAATCTGAATTTTTAATTATAAATTAACAGAAAAAAATTTAGAGTTGCAATATGACAATGTGATTTCGTCTGTCCAACTTAATAATATATACTCGTTGAATTAAGAATATACTTTTAAAAATTCACAAAAATTATTTTGAATATTGAAATTTTTAAAAGCCTTATTAATATTTTTTAAAAAAACTGCTTTAGTTCGATTACATAAATTTCAACTTCTTTATTAAGTAATCAACATATCTGTAAAGTGTAGGTTCTACAGAATAATAATCTAGTTTTAGATTGTTGTTATAGATTTTTTCTAATGAATCCAAAATCATGATTTCAAAATATGTTTATAAGTAAATATATATTATTTTTTTTACTATTAATTTAATTTATTATTGAGAAGAAAATTATAAAAAAATTATGTAATTTCGATTTAAAGCAAAAATTGTTCAAATAATAATAATATTATATTAATTATATATTATATATAATGTTATATAAATATAAATTTTTTTTGTCAATTTATAAATTATGTATTGTATCTTTCATTTAGAAACTAACAATAAGTGCATTAAATTTTAAAACTTAATTTATTTTTTCCCTAGACCATTGCTTTGGAAAATACTATTGAGACATTAAATAATTTAAAATAAAATTAGGTTGAAAATTAGCACTAAAATTAAATAAAAATTTAAATCAAATTAAAAATCAAAAATATATATATTAATTATATTATATTATAATATAATCATAATTATATTAATAATTGATATCACTCTATAAATTATTCAATAAGAATCTGAAACTGGATTGATTAAAGATATTCCATGAAGCATCAATAAACGTATGAAAGTAATATAATATATAAATTTTTAATCAAAAATAAAGACTATACTGAACTAATAGGAGTACAAGTAAGGAGCACTAAATAAATACAGACGACTATTTGAAGATAAAAATGTTATAATAAAATGTGCGGCAATGGCTGGTAAGTAACATACCAATAACTGCAACAACCAGTAAAATCAAGTAAGCGAGTAAAATCGAGTACCTTTTGACACTCGCCCATAGCTGTCTTATCCGGCTCCACGATCTGCCCACTGACGTCTCCATCCCCATTACTCTTTCTGAAGACTTCAATCAAGCCTTGCGGCACAAATACTTGTCCCACTAATTCGATGAGTGCGACAGTAATCTCCACATCATTCCCCTTTATAATCGCGGCTTTCGTGACCCTAGGTATTAAGCCTATCTGTTCACATCTCTTCACATCATCTCACATGATTACTGGAATGAAGTTTTCTCAATGCTGTGGAAATCTCAATTCATTCCTAAGAGGTAGTTTTAGTGGGTTCAAGTCTCACACTGTGGCTTTCGATGCTTTCCTCCTGCTTGAAAAAAAAAATAAAAAAATCAAGCAATTTTTCTGTTAAGCGCTAGTTATTAGTTAATTGTAATTGTTAGTTAATTGTAGTTAGTTGGCAACTTCACAAATAATGTAATCATATGTTATTAAAATATATAATTATTTCCAATCCGAACTTAATTGAATAAGTTCCTTCTCTTGCCTTAAATACCTTTTTAAAATGCATTCCGCTCCGTTCAAAGATATGTTGAATGCGCTACTGACGAAAAAGAATTAGGTGTTGCTTCGTAGCACAACTTCAAGTTGTTTTTTACTTTGCTTAATCTAATAGTGCTTATTGTATATATAATAATTATCGGAATATTGCAGAAATCATTTATTAAATATTTATTATTAATAATAATAATAATAATATAATAAATTCGTCATAAAAACTGTTCATTTAATATATAATTAATTGGCAATAACAATTGTATTTTCTCATGCTTTCAAATTAAAGCATCTAATGTGATCAGCAACAATAAACCAATTATTTTTTAACTAGCTCTAACGAACTCTAGTAAACTATAAAACATGAATATGAATATTTTGTAGATGCAATGATATATGTGAGTTACGATCAATTCAATTACTTCATTGTTAATAAGCTTCAACACACCCCCAACGGATTTATTCTCTAGTTAGCATTAGCAATATTAGAACGTACTGTGTACTGTACAAAATTTTCATTGGAACACTCCTTAAATATATTCAAAATTTGATTGAATCATTCTTTGATTTGACAAATTTGCTGAGAGTTATATTAGGTTACGAAAAATGATAAAAAAAATTAGCTTTACTTTGTTATAATCTTTGACAGTAAATCTCATAAATAATAAAATCTATATTGGATTAAATCCATGATGTGTGTCAAATTATAATTAATTAAAGATTACTTCTCCAAATTTAAAAATCAGAAGTGAAATATGTTAACTCTTGTGCAATAGCATTTGCACAATGATTAAATAAATATATATTTTGTTAAATTTTGTTATCATACGTATGTTCCCTAACAATATAATATAAATGCTAAGATTAGGTAATAAGAGAAAATTGCTTGGAAGGAAGTTGTTTTTTAAATGCAAACTGAATTACAAAATGTTAAAGAAAAATCTACGCAAAAATACTTCTAGTCATGAATTCATAAAACAAGTTTTAGTGAATTAAGTTTAATACTGACTTAGATCATGTTTAAGTCATCAATTTTCTATACTTCATTTATACTTAACCCAGTTTTAATTGGATACTTAATACGTCTATGCTTTCACAGGCCCTCAATCCTTTTGTGGGTTAAACTGGGCCAGTACAAAACAAATCATCAAAGAGAGGGAAAATCATAAGCGGCTGGAGTGCTGCGAAGACTTCCCAGAGCTTAGACAAAACAAAGCACTGATAAAACCGTAGTCCTACAAAAACATTTTTAAATTCTCAAAATGTAATTTAAGGTTGATAACGGGTTTTATTACAGGTCATTATGCCCTTTAAAAACTGCGATTATCTGCTAATTCGAATTGCTGATTATGCCTCGAAATGAGAAAACTACTATGCATATTCTTTGTGACTGTCCAGTTTTAATAACGCACAGAAGAAACTTGTTGCATATGGAATTTCTGTCACCAGAACAGATTAAGAGCTCTTCTCTAGAATTAGTTCTAGACTTTGTTCCCAAAGCTTTAAAGGGCTTTGTGTAATCAATTGTGCAATTGGTACAATAGGACTCTTCTGGCCGTAGTACCGGCTGCTGGGCGATTTCACTTCAAAGCTTTAATAACAATAATAAATCGTCGATGTACTTAAACGGTTTCCGATATTATTATAGCTTACATTTGATGTGTTTGAAAAAATTTCAATGATTTTTTCAAAAGAGGTAAGTTTTCTTAAAATTTTTGATTAACTTTTTTAATTGTTCATATAATAATATCTTAAAATGTTCTGAACATTTCATGTTAAGAAACTTTTAAAAACAAAAAGCTTTCTCAACAAAAATTCCCAAATTCTTTTAATATTTATACGACTATGACATACGTAATATAATAGTATATTTTCATTTATGTATGTCATGCAAATATTTCTTTTAAAAATGTTTTTAAATAAAATTAGTCAACATATAAAAACTTTTTGAATTTGAAAAATATTTGTACAGCGGTGAATAATAATTAAATTGTGCACTAAAATCTATTGTGAATTATATTTGCACAGAGCAACACTGATTTCACAAACGCATCGGCAAAAATATCAATGAAAAAAAACAAAACAAAAGCCGAAAGCACCAGAAAGAACATATTGCATTAGCTTCAGTGGGAAGTTATAAGCGGTTAAGAGCTATTCCAGTTGATTGATTGTTGTACTTAAAAAAGAATTAAAATGAATGGTGGAAAACATTTTGCAAAAGGTTTGTGTTATGTAAAAACTATTAATTATATAAAAAAGCCAAAAATAATAGGTTTTCATTTGCTAACTCAACATGTCTTTAATGCAAAAAAAGTATGACGTATTAAGTAAGGAATTTCGTTGTTGTTTTTATCAAGTTTTAAATCAAGAAAACCACTCCAAAGTGGTTCAAGTGCATAATTTGTATTAAGTGAAAACCACTTTAAATTGTTGATAAATTGCTTATATACAAGAAAATGATTATAAAAATATATAAGTAAAAACATAAATTATTTTCGAACATTAAAATATGTTACTTTTTTTTGTTAAAGGTTCTCAAAAGCCGGAATTACCCGATGATGGTATGCTGCGTTTGTACTCCATGCGATTTTGCCCTTATGCGCATAGAGTGCATCTTGTGCTTGATGCCAAAAACATTCCATACCATACTATTTTCATTAATCTCACCGACAAACCGGAGTGGTTGACTGAGTTCAGTGCATTAGGCAAGGTACCAGCTTTGCAGCTGACTACAGATGAGGGTGCACCCGCGCTTATTGAATCATTGATTATAGCGGAATACCTGGATGAGAAATATCCGGAAAAACCATTATATCCAAAGGATCCACTTAAAAAAGCGCAAGATAAGATATTAATAGAACGTTTCGGTGCCGTTGTGTCACCAATGTACAAGGTTTTCTTAAGCGGCAATGAGCCAGGAACTTTACTTGAAATTTCCAAGGGTCTTGATATATACGAGCAGGAGTTACGCAGCAGAGGCACGCCATTTTTCGGTGGTGACAAACCCGGTATGTTGGATTACATGATATGGCCATGGTGTGAACGCTCGGAAATGTTGAAATACTTATTGGATGATAAATATAAAATGGATGAAGAACGTTTCGCACAATTGGTAAGTTTTCGAAAAAAATGGATTAAAGTACTTAACATTTTCTGTTTTCTAGTTAAAATGGAAAGATTTAATGATCAACGATGCTGCAGTTAAGTCCTTTTATTTAAACGGTGAAACACACGCCAAATATATGCGTTCCCGCCGTGAGGGTCATGCTGACTACGACATGCTCGTGTAAGATTTAGCATTTACCTTTTTGCACATCGGTAATACTCGGTGTTGGGCTTCATGCGCTCCAAACATTATCTTCCAACTGTTATACTCAAACTGTTTTAATGTACTCAAAGAAAATCATTTAATCAAAAGTTTAACTTAAAGTTAATAAATATGATACATTAAACTAATACGCATTTGTATTTAATATTTATTTTATTTATTTATGCATTTATATTTTGTTACAGAAACACGAGTAAACGACAAAGAACTTGTTGAAGAGTTCCGTTTCTTGGCGCAGTACCGTTCTTAACTGGTAAGAAACATGAAGTGGGAATATTTCCTTGTGAACTGTTACTGCAACAGTTATTTATTGAGAAGCTAATTTATCTACTATATATAAGATATATCTGTTGTTTATATACTCTTATGTTATTTGTAATTTTATAATAAATACAAAACATACATTTTTATACTTGAAGCACAACTGCTTATTTATTCTAAATTAATAAATGTCAAGTTATCGAAGCAGAACTACCAATTATCCATTTATCTACAAATGAAAGGAGTTAACATTGAAATATGATATGTTATAGATATGTGTTTATTGGTTTCTTAATGTTAAGCCCTTCAGTCACTATAATATTAGCTTATATTGAAAACATATGTATAAAAAATATATCTACGGGACAAAAAATTATGCTGACCTTCTATTTCACAATACTACTATACAATTATTTATCATACTTGAATATATCGTTTCGTGTGTTATTCTACTTTAGGTCTTCATAGTTATCGCTTGGGATAAAAATTGTAGCGTTCAGTAAGGCCTCAAACATTACTATTCACCAGCTAGAAATTGTACAAAGCTAGGCTCTGAGATGACTTCAAGGTACTATAGTACCTTAGGACGAATGACATCCTCAGGGGCCTCTAGATTGATTCGATTCAAAAATATATAAAGGGTAGACCCCTGAAATTAATTACGAAAACTGACAGGCTTACCAACACCGCATTATCGAATCTCAGAATGCTTACAGGCTCCTTGGGAGGTATGTAGAACTGAGGTCATTTATGGTTTGGTTTGATGAAGTGATAAACAATACTCTAGTCAAGACGTAGACTGGGGTTATGAAGAAATCCCGCAGTAAATAGAGAGTAAAAGTGCTCAATTGCACTGAGTCGACTAGCCTCAACATTTATGTATGTAAATGTATGTAATTCTATCATAAGTAGATTTCTGAGAAGAATTTATGTACTTATACTAGTATTATAAATACATATAAGGTTTTTAACAATATTTAGTAGTATTTAGATGTACAATAATCCCACTACCGCGATATAGGGGGAATTACTGTAGTTTCGTAATTCGGTATTCGGTGAAGTGATAAAACGAAAACCAGTCCTCTAAACGCCACTTCTTAATTCTTTGTGAAATTGTAAAACTGAACTCAAGGCAGCAGATTTAATCTCTGTTTGATTTGTTTTCTTATTTAATTTCTATTCCATATTAATTAGAGTCAACTGATGTTTTTATCAGACCTAATGGCTTGGTAATATGGTAGGTAACTCAGGAGCGTTAGAATTTCACAAAATTAAATACAAATATAATACAAATAAAATTTTATCAGTCTACCGAGTAACGTGTACATCTGAATATATCTATTAGTATATATAGAAGTTATGAATCGAGTAGATAGTACTAATTGGGGAAAATGTTTTTTTTGTTTCGAGTCTAAAGACTATAAATCCCAGGTAGGTGTTTTGTTATATTACAGTTATGTTATATGAAAAACATTGGTATAATAATTTAATTAACTTATTTGAAGTAATGACTAAAATAAAACACTTTTAATTCAATTTGAGGCAAAAATATTATATCATTTATTAAAATTAATTTAGCATAAATGCTAGCGTAAAATTTTATAGTTTCGATAAAAGAATTATCGTTTCTTTAAATTACTTTTTAAAATACTTTTGTTGACGATAAATTGTAAATTTTTTAATTTTAATAAATTTCAATTGGAATCAAATTTTCGTCATCTACACACACACATTAAGAACTTTAATTAGAGAAAAAAATCGTTTTTATTTACATTAATTTGTGTTGCAAAATTTTAAAACTTTAATTCATAATTTTAATTTATAAATTTCTCACATCAATAATTAGTTTAAAACTGCTTAACTGCTACGATAAATTTAAAATCTTAAAACACACATAAATCTGAGTTCCAAATTGGTTCAAAAATAGTACCGACAACCGAGCGCCACAGAACTTTTCAGTATTTCCTCAAAAAATGGGCACCGTTGTCAGCTTTGAAAGTGGGGGTTTCTTCGTTTGCTTCGATTTTTAATTCGATTCATTTAATTTTAAAAAATTAATTCGATTTGTTTTCGTTTCAAATTTCAAATTTCAAATTTTGTTTTAATTTTGATTCTCCTGGAACGACTTAGGTAAATTGTTGCTTCTCACTCCATTTTCATGTCTTAGTAAATGTCTTAGCTCCGTTTTAGTTGCTATTTTTGTGCGTTTACGAGTTAAGCGACGAAGTGCATCAAGCCTGTGTGGAGGCCGAGTTCAATTGCTCTGAAAAATAGAAATTGTTTTTAATAAAACTCATGGACTAATATTGACAGGAGTATATATATAATACACAACGACTTCACATAAAATAACTATAAATATGTTAATAAATTCTAATGGCATAAGCTCAGCTCATTGGAAATGAGAGAGAGAGAAATTTTATGGTGCTCACTGACTAGGAATTTTGAACATGAATATCCTTATTCTAGCCAAGAAACATCTTATGTTTGTTAGTTGCGAAAGGCAATGTCTTTAATTAATTCACCTTTAAGCGACTACCAAAGAGCGATTAAGCAGGTCAGTAACATCAAAGGGGTTCCGGCTTTTGATTCACAAATTCAACTGTAGTCTTTGAAGTGAACCTCTTTTTATTGAATTTGTTTTGTCTAATTTGCAAGTTTTGTCTATAAAACACTAAAATAATTCTCTAATTGGAGATTCCTCCAAAACCCATGCTTTCTAAGTTCTTTGTATAAATCAGGAGATACCCATTTATAGAACTTTATTGCCCTTAGAGCAGTCGATTGATTTAGTTATGGGGATAATGAAATTATAACCAAGTAGATAAGTCTATAAGACGATAATCGTAATGTTTGAAGGTATGACGAATGATACATAACTATAGATTCTATATTAAGTGAATGGTCTCTCATTCTCTAACAATTTTTTATTTAAGTTTTATAAGTTATTTTATGTATCATTATAGTGGTGAAAATGCTTTCGCTAATATATAATAAACTATCCAAGTAGTATCTTATTTATTATTATTAACTTACCATTTCTTGTACTCGTGGCAGTATTACCTGGTGACAAGGATCTAGTCGCGTGAGCGCTACTATGAGTGGAATTTGTACCATGAGTGTGGCTACGTTTGTGCTGCAACAGGCTGCTATTAGATGAAAACTTCTTCTGACAAATGTCGCATACACGATCTTGCTGATCAGTGCTATAGGGTCGATTTGAAAATTTTTTGTGACTTGATGACTGTTGCTGGTGACTGTTGGAAGCAGTAGAAGAGCTTGTAGTGGAAGAATTGTTGCTATAAAATATAATTATAATGGCTTATTATAATGGTTATATTTAAACATCTCTAAAATTATGGACAAATATTTAAAAAGATAAAAAATATATTTTATATTTTATGTAATTTTTTACTAACTACAGCAGTTTACGGTTAAGAGATGTTGTTATTATTGGGCATAAATAATGACGAAAATTTCTATTTCGAATTTGTTTATTAATGGAATCCATACGTGAATTAAATGCTTTGATTACTGTCTTTTATTTAAAGAATGTGGAATACAGCCGTCAGTCTATAACGTTATCAACGCCGGTCAATCAAACATTTTGTTTTCATTTGTCACGATATTTTTTACATTTTTTACAGATCGCAGTACGCTTTAGGTTGAAAAATAATGTTTTAGTGTATATATTCCACAAGTAGCCTTTAATAAAGACTGCTTCATTGGGCACCTCGAATCTTTATGTGGATTGTTAATATACTCATTGAACTAATAAATTTATTATATATAAAATCTACCATTTTTAAAAATTGATTTGTAAAGGACTTCTTTTAAAAGGGTATTGTGCAAATGGGTTATCCTAATGGGTGTATCTACACTGGATAAACTTTGGTAAGATTTTTTCACACACTATCACTGGAACGGAAACGAGAACTCTTTTCTTAGTGTTCTCATGCGAATTCTATAAAAAGCTGAATAGACGCCGATTTAGATTTGTAGTAATTCTATCAATGGATTTCAATTTAGTATTGTTCTGGATATTAGCTCCAGTTTTTATAACATTATTCATTTCGTAATTATATATAATTATCAAGATAGTTTAAAGTTAAATGATCTTCAGATATTAATATGTGTATATAATACATAAGCTTACGCTCATCACCTTTTTTGTTCACTGTCCTTTTTATTGTTGAAGATAGCTAATTCTATTTCGGTGTGCTGGTTATTCATGTGGCGCACCCACTCAGCCGGAGTTTCAAAAGAGCTGTTGATATGTAAGACAGATACGAACTTCAATGCATGAAATAAAATAATTATAAGTAATTGAACTTACGTGGAACATAAATCACAGAGAAGTGTTACGTGGTCTACATTGTTGTCGTGTTGCTATAAAATGTTATTCTTAGTACATACTTAGTATAGTAATAATAATATACATATGTATACATATTTACGTATATAATCGCTGTCAGTTTTATTTTCAACTTACCGATACTCTTCTACGCTTTTTTGGCACGAAAGTTTTAGCTAAAGTATCACCATTGGATGTAGAAATATTGCTACTTGTCGCTGTGCTAGTAGCTGATGGATTATGAATGATGGGTTGAGTTTGTGCGTGAGTTTCGAGATGACGGACCCATGTTTTTGGATCATCAAAGGATTTTTTGCAAATTTCACATACTAATCGTGTAAATGTATCATAATCATTTTGTGGCCTGGGCGGTTCTTCTTCATCCGCACTATTTGTCGATACTGTTTCTAGTTTTACTGCGGTATTACCTAATGGAATTTTGAAATCCAATGGTTGTTTCGGAGAATGAATTGGCGTGTTTTGTCTATTTATAATATCACTACTATTTTCACTTCCACCTGGTGTGGACCAATCTGCCGGTTCTTGCTTAATAGGCAAAAAGTTGTGCGCATGTGGTGGTGTGAGTCGGGGAGCCGCCGATTCTACGAATTGTTTGTGACCAGTAACAGCTTGATGTTCATAATGTTCAGATGTGTAATAATCTCTAACTATATATGAAGTAATTATTTTTAAAATACTTATGCTTTATACTCGTATATACACAAACTACAAACCTCGATCCTTATCACTCTCTCTGCGTAATCGCCGTCCATAATACATATTATTTTCATCACTGTCACAGCGCTCATCAGGAGGTGGTTCTATGAAATCTCTATCCAAACGGTCACTTGACATACGTAATGAAGACACTGCAGACTCTCCACTATGAACTCGTTGACGATTCCGTATATGTTCATTTTCTGTTGGTATAGGGCAACTGCTGCAGCCCACTTCATTGCATTGTGCTATATTACCCACAACAGGAGGCAGCGTTTCATGTTGATTTGCTTGGTAACAACATTTATCTTCTGGATCTATAGCTACATCTTTATTAATCGATATACCACCCGAGTGATGTTTATTAAGAGGTGCTAGGAGACCCATTTGTGAAAGTTTAGGAGATTTAACTATAACTGGACTATCTTTCGGCATTACAGAGGCTCCTAATCCGCGGATTTGTTGCTGGTGAGCATGTTCAATGGAATAGCGACTACCACAAACATTGTTGTCTCGTGCACATTTATTTGAAATGTAGATATCACTAGCGTGTGTGTTAGGAAGCTGATTATTATTGATAAGTTGCAGTGGTCGATTACCATTTGTGCCATAATTATTAGTTCCTGCTGGATCTCTATGGTGGGAGTTTGGTGTGCGACACAAGCCTCTTATTTTTAAAATTTCACCTCCACGTAAAACTTCACTTAAGATATCATTAGACACTGTTGCTTCACCACTGTACATATATTGTACTAAAATTTGTATTGCGCGATGGCTTAAATCCGGTGGAAGCACAACGTAAAGAACTCCATTGGGCGCGGCAATAGGAGCTGTTTCAAACATCGTTGCAAAGAACTGTTTATAAATAATATTTAAAAACACAATAAACCTTATCGAAATTTTTATAAAACGTACTTGACTGCATGAACTAAGTATAAATTTGTGAGCCGATATACCCACTGTAGGAATGCCATTTTCTGAAGAACTTCCACTGGCACAATGACTGCTTGAACTATAGAGAACTACATCAGCAAACTTTTCGTTTCTAGATTTAAAACATTATGGGGAACAATTAATCATATTGTTGATTATTCTAATAGAGAACTTATATTAATATTTACTTATAAAGCGTTGCAACAGATGAATTCAAATAGGAAAGATGGGAATCCCATTTAAGGTGGTAGTTTTCCGCTGCCATTGTAAGTTTGGCGAAATCTTTTTTGCCTCTGTGTTTAATTCATTTATATTTTTTGTAAAAGTTAAATTGTGCTGAAAATCATTTAATATAATATATTTATATAATAATATAGTATAATTAGTTAATGTGTCAAGCATAAAGTAAATATAATAAAAACAATTATAAAATGTTAGTTTTATATTGCTGTATGTTATTATTATTTCCTTAAGTAATATCATTCCTCCTCATAAGACTGTAGGCCGGAAGTTATACAATATATTATATATTGTTTTTCTGTTTTGATTTTCATTTCAAATAAAGCGTATATCACCAGTCATATATCATATTGATCATATTTGTGTGAGATTAAATTATTAAGTACATTGTATAGATTGAAGTTAATACGAATTATGGTGAAACAATTTTCGACATTCTGTTTATTATAATTAATTGATGTGATCATCTGAACATCTATTTCGATAAACTGAGTTTTTTTTTCAAAATATCACGAGACGAAAACTTAAAGTCTGAAGGATACTATTTCAGTACGTAAATTATATGAGAATTATTTATAGTACATTGGCAACCCTCCAAGTGTGTGTTTTGTGTCTATTGTGAATGTGTGAATTGACAGTACAACAAATTCGCTCAATGCAAAATAACTTTACAATCCGAATAGAAGCGCTTATGTCGGTTATGAAAACAGTTGAGAATAATTTTTAAATTAATATTATTTAAATGCTACAAATATAATGGAAACTGGAATTGAATTCGATCTAAAATTAATTGAATTTGTGAAAGCAAATCCAATATTATACCAAAGAGAATTGCGAGTTACGCCATACCAATGTATAAAAGAAAAAACTGAAATTTGGAAAAGCATTGCAGTCTCACTTAAAACAAATCATAAAGAAGTCATAATGCGTTGGAAAAATTTGCGTGAAAAGTATCTAACTATGTTAAAAAATGAAAGAACATCGAATCAACCAAAAAGTCCGACGAATAAAGACCCTTCAGCAAAGACGAATAATGCTTGGCCACTGTATGAAAAGATGCATTTCCTACTAAAACACAACATATGTTATGGGTATATCAAGAATTAATCAATCTAATAGGATTTATATAATTATTTTGTACTTTTAGTTTAAACACAAAGAGCGCACAACAAGATAATAAAAAGAATACAGCTGTTATGGATGCTGAATTATTAAGTGAAGACGAAGATATTGCAATACAAGAAGCAATGGAGGAGCAAGCAATTACTACCAGTGATAAAGTAAAGTTTGAAAATAATGCAATGTCAACTGCAGGACAAGCCGATAGAAACATGTCCAAAAGTATTGAAGCGCTTTTTGCCACTCTTGAAGGAAATAATCGGAATATAGCTCAAAAACGCATATTGGAGTATCTATGCAAATGTAATCTCAAAGCATTGAAAAATGAATCCATAGAAGACATTGTTATTTAATTCAAAGTTTTTAGTATTATTTTATAATTGTATTCTTTTGTACCTATGTAGCACTTAGTTTTGTATGATTAAATTAACGTTTTTAACTTTATAAAGAATTTTGAGTTATAGGAGGAATTCAAAATATAAATTTTACTAATACGATATCTCAATATTTTTTGCGTCATGTAAACGTAGGCAAAATTGTTTAAAAATGGTTTGTATACGTAATAATTATTACGGAAAACAATGGATCTTGTTATTGTTGTGACTTGGCTCATCATTTTTGTAATCAATAGTGGTGTGGTGAGCAGCACTTGGTTATTCTGGAGACGAAATACTATGAGATGTGAACTCGATCGTGCTTATAACATAGAAGAAACCTTATGAACTGGTAAAACAGTTGTCTAAATTTCCAGTCCTAAACTTCAATTAAATAGATTTAAATGCGTAGGCAAGCACATTCATTCCAAAAAGTTGATTATGGATGTCAATAATTAATAATTATATTGTTTAATCTTGTTCATGGTTCCTTATACTATGAAAATGTGCATGTGGTGTTTATAGCAGTCGGAAATGAGAAAAACTGACTATGCTAAATTTTAAATACGTCAGATTAGAAGTGGCACAAAAAGATATGAGAAGAGAATTATATTGGCAAGGTGACAGCAATAAAGTTCAAAACACACTTCCTCCTGATGTCTCCAGGGAAGAACAATATGCAGTAAAAACCACTAGCCTGATTTATGCCGAAATATAGCCAATGTTAAGCAGTTTCTTGTTATACATCAATTCCCAACGTATGCCCTAACTGCACCATACACCAATTTGAGCCCTTATGATCCTTGGCTCCAACATTACTAAAATAATAAGGTTTCTTAGAAAATATTCGGATTTCTTTATTAGTTTATATTTCGTATACAATTTGAACTGCAAGTGCCAGGCTTAGAACTTGTGCCTCGTTGGTGTACTGCCCAGTGTTTTCTCAAAATAATTCGTGACTCACTCCAATGATAACAGAAGGATATCGCATACTATTGTAAGGCGAATGCGCTTTGCAAACAGTGTACCTTCAGAACACATTCGATATATCTAAAAGGTTTGAACTATCTTTATTGAGTAATTTAATAGAAAGATGGCAAGATTCCATGAAATGTAGACATCCGGACGAAAGTTCTTAAATAAGATAAAAGTAAGCATTTCTTCACGTCGGAAAGATATCAGTTTTATTATAAGTACAAAAATTAGTTATTGTCGCTTGAGAAACCATGCTAGGAGAAACTTCTTGCGCTATTTGGATTAAAAATGCTACACTTATTTCCGAGAAAATTGTAGTCCTCTAAAGGTCTTATTTTTTCAGAATATCTCACACTTTATAAAAAGCTCCAAATGCTTTTAAAATCCTAAAAGATTAATTGTTATAACCTAACCTAACAAAATATTTTTGGGTATTCTAACATTGGGTTCTAACATTGAAAAGATCCTTCGAGACTTATACAAAAATCCAAAAGGCAAATAGATCTAAATGGTTTCTTGTGATTGCTGTTATAACTTAACCTAACAGAATATGTTTTCCATTAATAAACAAAGCCTTGCCGTTCCATTTCTTAAAATAAACGTGATTGTGTGTACTTTAAGTCAGCAAATGAAATCAAATCAAAATTCAATATATGATGTGAATAAGTCTAAATAGTCTATATTAATTCTAAATATTTTTTACAATTTTAATAAGAAACACATTTTCTTTCAATATGTATTCAAAATTAAAGTAATTTTGGTTAAAAGGATGAACAGTACGGAGATAATAGCATCCACATTCAGATCCAAAACACCATGTCACCATATAATTTTTTTCGAAATATTGCTTAAGTTTACACATAGATTACAAAAATAATATTTTTAGTTATTTTTGTATGTGAGATTTATTATTTTAAAAATGTTTCGACTCAAAAGCCTAACATATGCTGGAATAACTCAACAAGAACAAGAACAAGAAGATTGAGGTGAAGTAATTTTAATAGTCGATTAAAATTGCCCACATAAATATTAGAAATTATTTTACACATGTAGTGTTTGTTATTGTAATTGATTTTTCTTATTGGAAAATATCTATCAATATAAATAGTAATCATAACCACGCCCACATACACAAGCATTTATCATGATGACTTTTGATAATGTAACGCATAGCATTGAGCTTAATACGTCGAAATTGTGTTATTCGCTTCATGCCCACTATGGGTAATTCAGTGTCCTACCCACGGAGTTCACCTCTTTACTACACCACACATAAACCAACTCACAATTGCAACCACTTTAGCACCAAATTATCGATTGATTTTATCACAAAAATCAATAAACAAAAATAAAATGCCTTAATCCTATTGCAACGTATAACGTATCATTCAATAACTTTTAAAGGCAGTATTTTTAATGATAAAAGGAAAAGTTTATTTAATAATTGATTTTAATTAAACTCTTTCATTTATGCTGAGAAGACGCACTTTAATATTTGCGCCAATTTTCTACGCTATTTCTTGGCATAAACACAATAAAATTCGCATCGAATTTGCATTCGAGCTGAAATCAATCACATACACACACACACACACTCTTCTCCTTTCATTGGCTTACCTTTGTTCGGGCAGAAGAAATATTAAATTAAATTATTTATTAACTTTTAATGCACTTTCTATATTTATAATATTTGATTTATATATTTGATTATTTTTAAACAATCCAACACGTTAGTGCACTTCTTTGTTTCCTCTTTTCTATTTTGTTGGCGCTCACTTCGACAGTCAATCTAAAAATGCTGAAGAGTCCTTTTGAGCGAAAAGCCAAGCAGTAAAACTATGAATTCTCCTATTCGGGCGAGTAAGTTTCTAATGTTTGTGTGTTGGTGCTCACTTGGACGAGTGTGTGCTCAATTACTCACTCGCTCACTCAATAACAAAAACACAAACAAATAATTTGCACAAAATTATATTTTTGTTTGCATGGCTGAGCCGAGCCGAGCCGTACAAAGAACGTTTACGGTTCTTGAACGTAGTGGTTGTTTTTGTTATACATTATTTACGTGTGTGTGTGAGTGTGTAGCAGGGTTTGTTGCTGCATTGTTTTGATTTTACTGAGCGTATTATCGCGTTGGACACGTTCCGATACTGCAGCCACATACTTCTATGGCGTTTTCCTGTCTAAATAATGAATCAATTTCTGGTTTAATTGATAAATTTTATTAATTGTGCTACAAATTTCCAAGAAAATGTGATTTGTCCTATCGCTCTAATGAAAACCTAATGAAAAATGTCCTTTCGTCCAGGAGCCTAATGAAAAACTTTCTCCTCTACTATTGAAATGTCCCTGTTATCTTCACTTGTTTTTACCTCGTATAAAAAGCAACGAAAAAACATTCAATTCAACACAATATTATTAAATTTTATTATAATCTATATTATTTTTTATTTAAAAACAATAAACATGATTTTTAAATTATCTGATTTATGCACATATACAGATTTTTTGGAAAAGAATTTTTGAAGAGAAGAACCGATTGATACATTGCTAAATCAACTATCACTAGCATGAAATATTTATTTTTGACTTCATCACAAGCTGTGCAAAGATGTGAGATGTCAGTTCTTAAATAACGAGTTAAGGAGGCTTGATCATTTTTAAGGTTTTTAATTAAAATACATATATGCCGAATTCAAAAGTTAGATATTGGCTACAGCTGTACCCTTTATGTCCAGAATGATTTTCAGACTGCGAAGTACAGTACAAATATACTATGGATTGATACGTACAAGTTTTACTATTCCATATTAGGCAATACAGATCTCTAAATTTTAAGCATATGAAAGACGCATATATGCTTATATTTTAGACAAATGTTCACGTCCCTTTATGTCGTCAATGATTTTCAGACTGCGAAGTACAGTAGATATTTACTGTCGATTGATAATGAGAAAATTACTCTTGATGTCTAAATATTGCGTTTCACTACTTCAACCCATAAGTAATTTTACATAATCATTTTCGGAGTTTGGAAGAAGTTAGATTTAAAGAAATATCTGCTTTCAAGTCATTGTTTTATCAGGAATACTGCGCAAATGATTCTATTTTGCTGCTTTAGCCTGGATACATCACAGAAAACTGCTATCTTAGAATTTCAATGATTCATATCATATCGTCCTACAAACGTATGGTTATATGTACATTCCACTTAAATTTCATTCTTCAATCTGAATTTCACATATTTTAGAAACGATTTCAGTCTTTAGTCTTAAAATTAAAGCAAAATTTATAACTTTAAAAATCAAAGTCAATATTGGAATTTAAATTGCGATTTAAAATAGGTTATGTTTGATCTATGGTACCGAAATAAAGTCGTTATTGTTATTCAATATATTATTTAAAAAATAATCACAAATCATACAGTTTATTATTATATTCATTAAAATACTAAAAGAATAAATGATCACTTTTAAAATGAAGGTATTCGATCATTTTAATAAATTGATAGAAGTGCGGTACGTCACTCACTTTTAGGCATGTCGAACTTAAAACCACCATACAGACATAATTAGTGTAACTATAAAGATTTTTTTTCTCACTTACACTTTCTTCATATGGTAAGCAATCACTTCTGGTCAAATATAAAAACTACACGTATTTTATTTTCAAATATTCTTTGACCCTCTTCATCATAAGGGCAAACTTAATGTTAATAACTACTCGTACTCATTGGTTCCGGCTAAAGGAATTACGTCGATAAGTATTGCTTCTCACTCACAAGGCGGTAATTTGACCGGCTACACTATACCACATTCCGATCTTCATCATCACAGCATCGTTTCTCTTGGTTTGATATAAGCTATTGGGCACAAATTTCATCAAAATCACTTACTCAACTTTAATAATGTACATTCCGTTGTGAAGATATACAAATGTGATTTTTCAGACTCCGTACTTAGTGTCTGCACATAATAAACTTCGTAATTCTTGGAATTATACCACATTTTTGCAACAGTCTATTTTTCACTTCTGACCACTGTTCACCAATAAATTTTGATTAACAGATATTAAACTCGTGATTAATAAACTACAGTTCTTAGCAGTGGAGCCTTTAGTATCTAATGGTTAAAATCTTTTACTACTTAATTCTAAGTGAAGTTTAACACTTTTTATTTATCAGGAAATAAAAATCGACGAATATTTTATCGAATATGGTTTGTAAAAAGACGTTCATAAATTATTTAGTTTGGTGGCCTGTTGCGCGCTTTCTCTAGTCCGGACTTCTCCATTGAAATTTGACATACCTTTACATTCTCCTTCTCCAAATGCACACTCAAATATATTTGCGCTCGAACGTTGCTCTTAATTCTAACACGAAAACGTCAACGATATCTTTAGATTTTATTTCACGGTCGAAATTACAACTCATTCAATTCAAGCAAGTTGGGACTATAACTTTCCTGTTAAAGTCGGTATTATAAATATATAGTATAAATAATATTTTATTAGGCCAAGTAGTTTTAGTACATATATTCAGTCATTTACGTAACAAAAACCTAACATATTAGGCAATTTATTTCAATTTTGCATATCTAACAATACACACATAGGAAACATTTTTTAAAGATATTTTATAAACGAAAAACAATTTAGTTATTTTTTAGCTAAAGTTAAAAGTGTAATATTCAATGCACAAAATATGTACACAATAAAACTATGTTGTAGTATCATCCTCTTTCTGTTTCTTACTCGTACCTCCTTCCTCATCTAATGGTCTTTTTGTTCCTGCATTACAAGATCGTAACGCTTCCTGCTCTAGTTTTGTTTGGTCTGAAGAAGAAGTACTATTTTTTAACAGTTCTCTTATTAGTATTGTTGCATAGACTGAACTAGGCAAACAAAAATCCAAAAGTAATGCCTTGAAATCTCCTTCTGTGTATGGTAACTTTCCACTTTCACTAATACCTTTCAGTTTTTCTAAATCGGAAGTGATAAGAACGCTTTCCTGACTATTGTAACCACAATATGACCAAGACATATCTGTCGGTTTAATTAATAATTTTCTGTATGAACCAGCCAAGGAGTAAAGTTTCACTTTATGCTTTAACGAAGCTAAGGTAAGTCCATATTCTTTTAAATATTCTTCATACCAACTTGCGACCTCATTATCAGGATATGTAATGTCGTAACCGGGTAATGGGAGCACTACGTCAAACAATGTATAGTTGCCATTATCAATATCTTCTTGAGTTAGGGGCTTCACTTTCAACTTAAATGCAGATAACACTTCTGGTGTCTCAACTGTACTGCTCTCTTCGTTTTTAAATGCATTCTCATCACTATCACATTCCATATTACCAATTGCTGTTGTGTCTGCATCCATTTCATCCTTGTCGCGGTACACCAAATCACCTGGTATGAGTTTTAACCCAAATTCTTCGATTCGTCTCGAAGCAATACGATTGAAAATTAAACTTTGAAGAGAATGTGTATACAGCAATAGCGTATTTCGTGGCAGCTAAGGGCATATAGAAATAAATAATGTTATAGAATAATACATAAATATTTACAAATAATAATTAACCTGTCTCAAGGAATTTGCATAATCAGATTCACCAAACTTTTTCAACCCCTCTAAAATTTTTTTTTCAATAAAATTGCCTTGAATTTTTGCTGCGGCTCGTGCAGAATCGCGATCTTTCCACCATGTTTCTCTTACTTCACGCAAGTGATCATTATCAGATTCCCTGGGTTTTAATATAAGTTCAACAGCCTAAAATTAAACATTCAAATAAGTTCAAAGTACCATATTAGAATAAAATAAATCAATAAATGTACCAACCAATTTGTAATCATTTTTGAGTAAAGCTACACCAACATTATAAGTGGGTACAGAAGCGCAGTTTCCAAATCTTTGTAAACCATAGTAGTTAATAAAACCAAGTTTCATTAGCTCTTGAAGAGAGTACTCAATATCCTCTTTGTTACCTTTTAAATGACGTAAAACAATTCGAAATCTTAAATTCAAAAAAAAATAAGTGAATATATAACAGATTATGGAATGTAAAATGGTACCTGTTGCCTTTTAGGTCACCAAGTTTAAGAACCTTATCACTATTTTCGAAATTACCAACTGTAACATTGCGAAGGGTTTTCACAATACCAAAAATTTGTGACGGTGCTCTTCTTTTGATGCAAAATTTCTGTGTTGTTTTTGCACGCTTATCTTTAGTGCCACAATAATTAATGCAGGATGGAGTCATTCTTTTTCGTAATTAAATAATTATTTAATTGACTATTAAATATATTCAAAAATATACCTCATTTTTGTAGCCAAAGCAGAAACAACTTCACTGGTGTCCATATTTTCCTTGTGTACTAAGAAGTGCATATATTCCCCAGGGAATGTCCAAGTATTTCTGTTTTCTATGTTATATAAATTTAGACTATTTCACATTGATATTTTTTAATATAGAATAATTACCACGTTGAAATTTTTGTTTCGCTATTGTAACAAATTTTTTAGCTTCACCCTCCTCTTCAGTGGTTTTACTCACTAACTTGTTGCTGCTATACAAAGTTTTCACAATTTTATGTAGAAGCGTGCGTTGCTCCTTATTAAAAGAACTAACATCAACTTTAATAATTTTATCGTTTTCTGCAGACGATGCGGCAAGTTCTGCAATATTCTTCCACACATTTTCAGTTATGAGATCTTTGAACTGATCTTTACCTGCATTTATTTCGTCGATGCTCAAATCTAAAGTAAACAATTTTTAGGATAGACAATGCTACTTAATTTCCATTACTTACTATTTGGATTGGGCATTTCTGGAACTTCAAGATTATTTAATGTTAATATTTCATTATTCCAATCAATTTCATTAACATGAAAATCGGAGTAACGAGACTTCAGAACACCGGTAAAGCCAACACTGTTTGTTACATATTCAGTAATACCGACTTGACGTTCATTTATCGAATTTTTTTCCATAAAATTAGAGTCAGTTTTATTCTGACTACTAAAAGGACGTCTTACCTTATTATTATTGTTATTTTTACCTTTAAAAGGTTTCCTGTGTTTATTAAACTGTTTATCCCTCATGTTCGATTAAAATAATAAATAAGGCACATGCAACTTTTGACAATTGGGTACTACTCTCCTATTCACAATAGACAATTATTGAAGAATTAACATAATTAGCAATAGAGAAACATAATTAGAGCAATAGAGAGAAATACTCAATTGTGTGATTATAGCATTCAAAAGCAAGAATATTCTGTTTCTGAGGTTTGTATTTAATTGTCTTTATCGTTATATTAATAGCTTAAATTATTTTATTGTAATTTATTTTATTTATTATAAATATGGTATTCTGGTACTCGTTTTAGAAAATGGTAATTTTTTAAAGCGCGAACTTTATTGTACATTGTATTGTATTATATCATCCAACAAAATTTTTTATAGATGCAACTGTGCAATATGGAACTAATTAATTTTAAATATGGCTGCAGAAAGTAAAAGAAAATTTCGATCAGAATGTATTTTAAGAACTTAATTGATATTATAGTAACCAAAGAATTATTTCATAAAAAAGGTATGTACTATATATAGTCAGTAATAGATAGTCCGATTAATTAAATAAGAAAATGATTATTGATAAAAAGACTGTACTGTTCTATATCTTATGTACATTTCAGATATATTATATTTTCTTTTTTATAAAAAGACAATAGAAAAAAATTGGACTTCTATTTTTTTCAGAAATGATACCTTGTTAAATCACTTTTGGTACAGAAAAAAATTTTAAATCATACTTGTCCACTTTTGGTACAGAAAAAAATTTTCAATTATACTTGTCGATTTAAAGGAAAAGCGTTTAATTTTGTAAGTATTGTTAAAAATAATTATAGATAATATAATAATAAATTAGCATTATTAGAGCCTCTATGAGTTTTTTCTTGCTGATTTTGCCATGCCCGAGGCATATGGCACTTGGGGCCAGATGTGTAATAGCAAACGATGTCGCACAAGTTGTAGAACCAAGTCCGTTTAAGGTATTATTTGTTTTGAAGTACTTTTAGTAAAGCATAACTATAATGGAATGGTTAGTGTCAAAGAATACATTATTCTTTGGTTGATGTTATTAAATTATATTTTAATGTTATTTACTATTGTGAATTTACATATAATGGAAAAATTGTGAACGAAACATAAATTATAAATAAATATTTGTTTTAATGTAGTACTATTCGTCTAAAGTTTCTGTTATTAGTAATAACTATACAATCATCATGGTTTATATACATTTTCCTTCTAATCTAACTGAAGAAGAAGTTATGTTGCAAGCGAAATATCAAAAACTACGTAAAAAAGTACGCTATTTCATTGCTCTTAAAAGCAGATACATATATTGTTGATTATATGTTGACTTATTAAGTATCTATATTTTTTTTTTTTTAAACAGAAAAAGGCTTTACAAGCATTAAAAGCTCCAAAACAGGAGCCGGAAAAACCACTAAATCCAAAACGTACAACTGATGCTCGGGATGCACGTGAAGTGGCAAGAAAATTGATAAAAAGTAAGTCTAACAATGATAGTCTAACAAACTCATGAGCGGTTAGGTCCAGTGCTGCTCATCAGACCTTTCCGACATGCACGTTATAACTAGTAACTGTAATAACATTGCATATTTTAATATTTATTAAGGTGGCGCAATACCTGCAATACAAAAACAGACAAAGCAAGATCAAACTTCATTCAAGCGTCCAAAAGGACAAGAAAGAAAGCGAGTAGCACCAGAAGCTAGCGTTGCAACTTATCAACCATTTTCTTCGACACAAAATGATGTTGCGCAAGAACCTATTATCAGTGAAATAATTAAGGAAGAACCACGTATACAGAACCTTTACCAACACTTTGCATCTGAACGAGATCGAGAGGAACGTGGAATTACTGATAAGACTAATCATGATCCAACGCAACCAGAAAAGCCCCGTGCAGGAAATACAATTTTTGTCTCTGGTAATAAAGTAAATGAAGACTTCTTAAGAAAAACCTTTAACGATTATGGTACTATAATCAACATTTCAATGGAAATTGAAAAAGGGTAAATATGGTTAACGCGCGTTTATGTTTCTATATAAATACAATTTGTTCAATACAATTTGTTTTTTTCTACATATAATAGTCGTGGTTTTGTAACGTTTGCCAAACCTGAATCAGCTGATAGAGCGATTGCTGAAATGCACAGTAAGAATGTTAATGGCATATCACTGCAAGTGCAATTAGCACGTCGTCAACCACAAATCGAACCAATAAATGATGCTTCATCATCTGCAGCTTGGTCATCAATTGGTAAGTTTTCATGACAAAAGAAATTATCTTAGTATTTCTTCGGTTATGGTCCTTAAGTCGCATTTATTCTTTAAGTAAATTGCTTTAGAAAGATAATGTTTACTTCACGATATAATGGTTTATTTGTTACAGCTTCAAGTAAATCACAAAAAGGTACCCACAAAGATCGCCGTGAAGTAGTACAATACGATGAAGATATATTCGATTCAAATGGTATGGATTAAACGGTTGGTAGGTTATTTCGTAATTAAATACGAAATACTGGATATTGTAAGTATGAATTTTACATGTTTTACTTCATTTAGGATGTTTAATTTTTAGATTCGAAACAAAATAAAATAATTGCTTTTTTATTACTTAGAATCAATACTAATTTTGCAAAATAATTAAATATAATTATTTTTTGTTAAAAAAATAAAATAAAAAAATTGTCAAAGAATTTAAAACAAGAATGTATAATCAATGAAACTCTAAAAAGATATATTTTAAAAATATGTATTGCTTTATTTTTATCTTTAAAGTTGATTTAATTTTTGTAAAACAAATACTAAGCACCGCTCTAAGTTGCAATTATTAGCGGATTAAACTTATTTATATCAATAAATAACAATGAATTTATATAAAAAAATTAATAATCATAAAAATTAATTTAATTTATTGTAATAATTGTAGTAACACTGAACACTGGATAAATAAAATTCTTAATTTTTTCTTACAGTCGTAGTCCTCCGTTGCTGACTACTGCAAATATTAAAAATATGTATAAATCTTGTTTTATTTAAATCCAAGATGTTTCCAAAACCGAATTCCATTATACGTCAGTATCACTTAATTCAAATAATTGTTAATGTAGTTATGTGAAAATGTATTAATGTACCCGATATATGTATGTAATCTAAGTCATAAGATATGTGATGTCCTCTCTTGTCGACGCTTTTTGATAAATGAAAAATGTCAAAAAATCTTTTAAAGTTTTGATTGATTTAATGAAGTTTAAGTTTAAATGGTACAAGGCAACTTTTATTTCGTATACAAATATTTGACTGCACTGAGTTGCACCCATAATAAAAAATCTTAACTCACTGCTTTCATCCATTTAGAAATATTCGCAAATTCGTTTTTTACAATATATAATTTTTTTACAGTGTAAAAATTGAACTCAAAATGCAAAAAAATTATCATATGTGGTCTGAGACAAATTCTTATTATAGAACTGCAATAAAAATTGGCTAGACCTATGACTTTCGATATGAAAAATTTAACTATTACGTTTGATGGCGTCCATCATTCCCAGGTGGATTGAAGTAATCCCAATGGTGTGTGTGTACATTCTTTCCAGATAGCAGATAAAGTAAAACGCCGAAAGTTACAACTATAAAGAGTGCAACCAATACTGGCACTTGTCGCAAACGGGTGATTATATCCTGCTCTTTTCCGCCTTCACCTCTCACTATTTCGGTCAAGTGGTTTACTATGTTGACAACTTGTAAACTGCAAGCGCCTAGTAATTGTTTAGTCGCTGCTGCAATGCTTTGTCTATCTCGAGGACGTGTAGTACTGCGTGAGCGGTGACGTCGCTGTATTTGTGGTTCATCAATATCAGATGGTTCTTCTTCAATATCCGAACTAGTTGAATCACGTCTTCTGTGGTGGTGATGATGATGATGTCGCGACCGGTGTTGACATTTTGTTGATGCTGTCGTATCATCAATTGGGTCCATTTCTGTTTGTTGACGTAAATTGTAAAGCGCAAGTGGTGCAATTGATTGCAAATATTCGGCGGTGGGAAAGACAATTGGTGGCAATTGTGGGGCAGCAGGAATATCAGTTTGTGTTTCTTCATCAAGATTTTGTTGCGTTATATCGTGTTGAATGTCTGCAGTATATGTTGTGCTGGCAGGTGTGGATTCCAAATTTCTTAATCTAGGAGGTTTTGGTGGTGGCACAATTTCTGACACTGGTAATTGTGACACCTGCTCGGTGGGTATTTCTTCATTACTAGCCTGCAAGCTAGTTTGCGTTTCGGTATTTAATAGTTGACTGCGTTCGGTATTGCGTACTCGTTCTACAATATCTTCTATAAATCCTGGTGGTAATTCTATATTTTTGACAACAAGACTGCCTGATTTACATTCTAGTTCATCAGCACTTATCTCTGTTCCGTGTAATTGTGACACCATAATTTGGCCAGCTTGCAGTGCATGCACTCGTAAGTGATCTACTTCGAGATCGCCAAGACGGCTCGGAAGCTGTGATTGTGGTAATTGTTCTCTATTGACAACAGCTTGAACAGGTGTTAATTGTGTGGGTATTTGCTCAGCTATAATCAAGTCATTTGTAGTTTCAATCGCGGTTGTTGACTTACGACGTGGTGGTGGTAGTGGTGCTACCGCACTTGATGATTCTGTGTCCATTTGCTCTATTCTTTCAATACGTTTAAGTAACTCTTTTTCTGCTGCCGTAAATTCGTTGTCGTCTTCACTTATATCGCTTTTTTCAGTCTTATTTAATGCATCTAAAGTTGTTTTTTCCAACAGTTCTTGCAGTCTTAACAGTTCATTCTTTGCAGTCACGTTTTCTGTTGTAAGTTCTGACTCATCTTCATCGTAATGATTAGAATATCTTTCTGCTTCATCGTCATCATATGAGTAATCTCGCATTGTTCGCTCAATTTCGGCATCTTCTTCTTCAACATGTTGAGTCTCGCTCAGTTCTTCTTCATGCAAACGCAATTTTTCAATAGCCGCGTCTAAGTCACTAGAGCTTGGTGCATAAGAATAATCACTTAATGCTCCTTTAGCTTCTTCTGTATTATCTGCTTCCGCTTGATAATGGCTTTCAACATCGGATTTACTTTGTTGTGAACTGTCTGTGAGAAGTCCCTCTCGACGTAAAGCTTCTTCTTCTAAATCTAAATCATCTACAGGACGTACAATCAGTGCCGCTTCTAAAACAGATTCATTTTGTTGACTTGGAATAGGCGTTGAAACACGTCTTTCGATTATGACTGCAGATGGAGTTTGTGGTCTACTCAAAGATCTGCTACGATCTGCTTGAGATGAAGCACGTGACCTTTCAGATAAACTGCGTTGATTTGCATCTCTAAATCGCTGCAAACCTATTGCCAATTGTTCATCTTCTGTTAATAGCTTTGGTTCATTAGTTTCACTTTCAAGATGCTCTTTCATTAATTCGTCTAATGTTTTGCCTGATCGTCGCGGCGCAATGACCTTCATGTCTTCAGTTATTTCAAACTCTTCGCATATGAAATCATCCGGTAGTGGATCAGTTTGTGTGGAAACTTCGACTTCAGGTATGTGTGAATTGTCATCTGACTCCATATTTTGATCATAACTGTCAGCCGTAGAGGAAGTAGCTATATTTTCGTCTATATCCAACATGGTACTTTCATGTTCATCCGTGCGACTGCCTTGATTAGAAGCTCTGCTTTCAGCTCGATTTCTTTTATCTCGCGGTGGTCGAGGTGGTGGAGGTAATGGCCGATACTTCATTTTATTTATCACGTCTCCGGACTGTAAATCGCGTGGTGATTCTGGTCGTTCGTTAGCACTAATGCCAGGCTCTTCATAATCGTCTTCATAGCTGTTTAAAGAAATAATGAGTTTTAGACGTACAATTTTTAATTTTTGTAGTGCATCGGTATCAGTTTCTTAACAACATTCATTGCATGATTGCCAAAAATAAAAAAAATATATAAATTATATCAAAAAAGCTGGAGTAAGAAAAAAGTGATTCGTAAAGAGCACTTGATTGCTTCTTAATATCACTAGTGCAAATAAGGCTTCCGCGAGCGCATCGTGGTTGCAGCATGCATTCAAGCTTCAAAAATTTGCAACATCAAAAGCAAAAATATTTGAAAAAACAAAATGTATCTGTAATGTTTATTGTGTTTTGTTGTATTTGTGTTCTTAACCTAGATTTATGTCTAATATTGCACTCTTAAAACTATTTTCGTTTTAAGTGTGTGGTTTCTCACACATAAAAAGAAAAATGATTTAATTTAAAATAAATAAACTTAACAAAAATAAATCAAAAAACAAAATTCACTAAAAATGTACACAACAATAAAAATGTAAGGATAGTCGTCCAAAAAAAAAACGTATGCGTGTTAGTAAAAGCAACTTTGCGCAATTTGCCTTACTTTTGAGCCACGTCCGTGGTGTACACAGGTTTCGTGGGTAAGTCCGTGGACGGCGTATATTCCCGTGGTGGTGGCGGACGTTCGGGGGGCGGAGTACCATGTTTTGTGCGCATGTTGGGCATAGTTGCAAAACGTTCTCCCGGTGAGCGTGAAAACTTTTTTCTTCTGGCTGGTGGAGTGGGTTTTGGTAGTTGTTCTTTTCGCACTACTGCGTAACTATAAAGATAATGTGAAATTGCTGCTGTTTCAATATTCCATATATTTTGATTTTATTTCACTATATACTTACCCATCGCTTTCTATCATATCAATGATAAACTTTTCATCAACATCCTGTGCGTCAATATCGTTGTCAATTCTCATATTTGCATCTAAAGTTAACGAGTCCGCTCCTCTTGATGTTCGGTCATCTTCATCAAACCTTGATGTGGATCTTGATTTACGAGATGGAATCGAATTGCCATCGGTATAGTTTTCTGGAGTGGCAAGTGGTGGGATGGGATATTCGTGTTCGGTGCGGTAAACTATTACCTTAAAATTCACAAAAAAATAAATATCAACATTATTATTTCAATAATTATCATTGCAACTTACATCCTCGGGTTCTTGTAAATAGTTATTTGATACCGATCTGCCACTAAAGCCATTTATGTATGAATCTTTGTCCATTGATACGTCGCGCAATTGACGGCGTTTTCGTTGTGGTGCTTGTGGCTGCTGCATAACGCTGTCAACTTCATTATCTTCAGCAGTAAAAACTTGTTTATCTGCAATATCAAAATTGTTTTCCCTATAGTGTGCACTGCGTGGTGGGCGTAAATATTCTTCATCATCATCAAAGTATCGAGCATGTCTTATAGAGTCATCTGGCATTGCTACATCTTGGCTATCCATTGAATATTTGCTACGACTTCTTTCCTTTCGCATAGGCCTCTTAGGTCCAGTTAAGAAATCACTACCATTTTGTGACATTGATAAATCGTCTCCGTAATCACTTCGTTGAGTTTCGAATTCTTGGGAAATATCCTCAGGTCTATTGCTCTTGTGCAGTCGCCGTGGTTTCGGTGGAGGTACATCGTATTCACCAAATTCCATTCTTTCACTTGACTGACCAACATGCTGTAAAGCATTGATCGGCGTATCATAACCTTCTCTAATAGCATTAGTTATGTACTGTCTTAATTCAATATTATCTTGTGATATTCCTCGCTTACGCAAGAAGAATTCGTCGTCATCAATTTCTTCCATTACTACTTTCTTGCCTGAACTAGCAGTTGAGTGTGTTTCCTGTGCTATTCCGTCGTCATAGGAGTATTTTAAGTAGCTTGCTTCCGCCTCAAGTTCAGCGTGTCTTAATAGTTTATTTTTCTGAATTTCTTTATCAGTCCAACCCACTGCTTCTTTACTATCTTCTGACCTAAGGTCCGAGTCCTGATGCACCATTGGGCGACGCTTAAATTCCCCAGCTCGAAGATTAGATATCTCGTGTATTGCACGATTTTCTTCATCAAATTCCGCAAATTGCTTGTTATCAGCAACGCCTCCTAATATACCTAATTCCATAGGAGCTTCACTACCAGTGTCTTCCAAATCTTCACGCATACGTCTCTCGAGTGAAGACTCACGGTCGAAACTTTCTTGCTCACTGCCATAGCGACGATATCTTGAACCTTCACTATCATTGTAGCTCACGTCGGAAAATTTATCCGCCCATCGGGAGCGTACTGGTCCCGGTCCACGATCACCTTGTGGCGAACTTGATGATTCTACAGACGGTTGCGTTTCGGTGCTTGTTATGACACTCAAACCTTCTGTACCAGTGCCAGTGCCAGTGCCTGCATCAAGTAAAGGTTCTGGTTCAACTGGTTTCTTTTTCTTACGAAATGCGCGTGGATACGTACCAAAATTAAATTCAAATATTTTCTTTTGTGGTTGCGATTCTTGAACCTTTGAACTTGGCGCTTCTGTTGTTATGCCTGAAATTTCATCCTCTGGACTGGTTTCATTCTCTTTTAATGATTTGCTTCTTCTAAGTTTTAGTGTCGAAAATTTTTCTGGGAGCTTAAATTTAGACATATCTGGCTTGTTGAATTTCGTAAATTCAGGACGTTTCAATTCCTTTAGTTTAGACATATCTGGGCGCTTTATTTCTGGCATTTTTATTTTTGAAAATTCTGGCGCTTTAAAGCGCTTACGGTCTTTTGCTTTTGGACTTCCTGCTGGAGGCTTCTTTGCTGGTGAACGTAATTTTGTTTTCAATTTTCCAGCTTGACTTTTAAGGCCAGCTTGCATTTTGCGAGTTCGGTCCTGAGCGGAGGCCATAAAACCTTTTTTACGATTTTCTGGCTTAAGTGGTAATTCCTCAAGAGCACTGGTGTCTACTTGACTTGTATGTATTTCATTATCCGTGCGAGACTCAGTGCGAGGTGTTGTGGTTGCAGAACTGAAGTACTGTTCTTCAAAATCTCTTTGCAAATCCTCTGCTGCTTTCATTTCATCTCTAACTGTGTCAATTTCCATTTTTATTTTCGACTTATTTTGCGCTTGTACAGGCGCTGGAGAAGACTCCTTCTTTATAACTGGTTTTTCACCATTTACGGGCACTCCAATTGGTTCATATTCATGATCACTAAAAATGTTTAATATATAAAATTTGCATTATTAAAATAATATTCTGTTTTATAGTATTTCATACAGAATTCATACAGAATATGAGTCATTGTAAAAGTAATGGAGGTAAAAATAGTTTGCATTGTTTGTAAGTAAACTAATGTATTAGTTTTGTATGATGTGGTGATGTATAATGTATTAATGGAGTAACAATTAACATATTTGTTAGTATCAAATGCTTGATTTTAAAATTCATTTAAAATTTTAAAATAATTAAGCTTGCCGCCATTTACAAACCATAAGAAATATATAAACCAAGTTGTCTAGAAGGTGTTATTAATTAATTTATATTTTTAGCTTGATATTGTATGTACCTATAAATTTAGAAATCTCTGGCTCAGTTCAAGTTCACGTAGACAATACATAAGGAGTTTCAAAAGGTTTGTGTGTATAACATATATCAAATTTTAAGATGAGACAAATATTATAGGTAGCTTATAAAAGAAGATCAAATATGGGGTATCTACTTATAGAACTTATAAGATTGGATATATAGCATGTATAATGCAAGTGAGAACATAAAGCCAGTTACACGCTTCCAATCGTTTTATATTACTAACTAACTCTCTAAATTTGATTGTACTCCTTGAACACTATCAGAAATATACGGACACATATATATTTCGTGTTCATGCTATAATTCAAAACATATTAGTAGTTAATGGTAAAAAATATGTATTTTACATTGAATAATACCCGTAAATTATGCTAATATATACATTGGGATTTTGATTTTCTCATGTAGGAAATGTTTCAATTTTTATAACGATGCGTTCCATTGACCTGTGTAACTCATTCTTACCGGGAGAAATAAGTCCTTTCTAGAAAATCTCTTTGATCTTTTTGCTGCTGTGAAAGACTTGTGCTTTCAAAAGCTGATAAGCGTGATTTTCGTTCTTCAAAATTAAAACTAACCGTTTTTGTCATACGCGTGGTATAAATATCATCAGTGGATCCACGAATATGAGCACGATCTTGAGATTGTGTACGCCCTTCCAAAAAGCTGGTTTTTCTGCTAAGTTTGATTTGTGGCATTCGTTGCTCTGATGGTGATCGAGGTAAATTATGTTGTGATGATAAACCACTCGGTGGTAGTCCTGGAGTTACAATACTATTGCTACCAATATTAATTGGAACTGAAATCAAGCCCCCTTTTGAAAAACGTGTTTGATCTTGACTTGAGCTGTGCAGCTCGGATTCACTACGTCGACCATAAACATCCATATCACTGGCATACGAATTCCTAATACCAGCCACAAAACTTTCTCGATTTGCTTGTGGCAAAACAATAGGTACGAACGCTTCGGAGGGAGCTATCGATAGTCGCTCTGATACACTGACTTCATCACGACTGCTATATATACTACGTGAGGGTGTTTCAAAGTGTGTTGCTGATTGTTTGGCCGGTCGACTACAATATTGATCCATTTCATCAACTTTTAAAGAAAATGTTTCGGTTACCTTTACAGCCATTGGTTCAGCTTCGGGTTTTTTGGTTATAACAGCACTACTACCTGAAACAATTTCCATTGGAGTTGGCTTTGACTTAGAAAATATCGATTTAATTTTGCTTGGTGCTGTTGATGGAGATTTTTCACGTTTGGGTGTTGGGGAACGACGTTGAGTAAACGGAGAGGGTTCACTAGGTGCTTCAGAATTTTTTGCGCTAAACATTGACTTAATTTTAGAGGTGTATGAGGCTTTAGCATCCGGTATATTTTGATCTGAATTTGCAATCGATTTTATTTCAAGAGTTTGTGGTTGTAACTGCTGCATATCATAGGTAGGCTTTTTGATAGGTTTTGGTGAGGGTTGACGGTCAATTGGATGCTGACGTTTTAATTGTGTATTTGCTGAGTTTTGTGGTTGTGTTATGTTTCCTTGCGGTAAAGTAAGATTTTTAGGCACTTGTTCAAATGGTTGATATGAAGCTGGCTGTTTACTTGATGTTTTGGAATTTGCGGCAGACGCTTTAACATTTTCGTCTTGTACGAGCTTTTCAATATCTACAATCGGTATTGAACTTACTATATTTATATGAGTATCTTCATCTAGATGTAAAGATGGATTTTTGGTAGCTCCACTTACCACAGTAGGCTGGATTGTATTAAGTTTGATATCATCGCGAATATCCATAAGATTTGTATTGGCTGTTAAAGCTTCTAACTCGGCTACAGTGCGCTGTAGAGGATCTTGCTTAACAGTAGCCGAAACAGGATAGGGAGATGCAGCTCTCGGTATATGACTATGTTGAAAATTGTAATCATTTGAAATGGGTTCTTCTTGACTAAGTGAAATATTATGCGCCTGTGTATTGTATTTAGACACATCAATAGGTCGATTTTGTGGTAAAACTTCTCCTAATTGTAGATAATAAGCCGAATTTTCTTTATTTTCATCTGGCCGCATATAATCGATTGACGCTGGGGGCTTAGCTATGCGATAATCTTGTATTGGTGAAGGTGAACGTGCCGGTGAACGTGATCGTGCTGGTGATGGTGAACGGGTTGGTGTTAAAGCACGTTTGAAATCTGGTCTAATATCGGTCACTACAGGTGTCGGTGTGGGTGCTATCAAGTTCACTTGAGGAAGTGTGCTTATGGTATTAGTTACTAGCTTGTGAGAAGTAAAATGAGATAGATCTATATTTGAAGAACGTCGACTGGCGCTTACTGAACGTGTAGCGCGTTTTTCCAAGTGTGCGCCTGGTATGTTAATATCTGCCACAATCAGATCTGGTTTGGAAGGAGAACGTGATATTCTGCGTAACGACACTCCACTACGCATAGATAAGGTTTCTGGATCACGCATACCAAAACTTCCAGTTGAAAGTCCACTTACGGACATGTGGCGATTTCTATGTCCCGCTACAAATGTAGAACTGCCAGGCAAGTCAGGGTCTGTTGCATCAGATATACTTCTTACCACCAAACCACCACTTCGAGCGGCTTCCTCAAGTTCAGGGTACCTTTGCAGGAATGCAGAATCTACTGGAGGCGATGACGTGTGAAGGCCACCCATATTTGAATTTGTTGATATGCGATCCAAGTCCATAGCAGCATGCCCACCGATATTATAATTTTTATTAGACAATTGATCCAAATGTAGGGGTGCATTCGAGTTGAGGGATTGTAAGTGTGGCCAATTTTCCACCTGCTTATGGGATTGGTCATATGTATGTTGTTTCATTTGTTCATCAAAACTTCCTAATTCCTCGTGAAAGCCCAACTTTGAAGAGGGACGGGAATCGGCGGGGTTTACACGGTCTGGTAAAAGTGAATCACACTGAAAATATTGGCAAGCACAACGTACATCTAGTGAAATTCCACTTGCACTTTCGTTCCGGGAAACGTAGTGCTTTTTTTCATGCGGTAAAGCGCCGACAGAAGCCGAACGACGCGAATTCATTGCGTAGCACTTGTAAAAAAAATTTTAAATAAAACCGAATAAAAGAAATTAATAAATGAATTAAAATTTGTACGTAGCTAAATTCTTTTTAGTATTACTTTGGCGACAATTTGTAGTTCTCGCAGCGGTCACACCGCACCGTAAATCTTAGTTTGTTCTATGCCAAACGCTTATGTTGCTATTTTTAAGAATTGCTCCGAGGGTGGACATTGAATTTATTTTTATGTTATTTAATAGGTTTTTTTTTTTAAATAATTGGCGATTATGTAGTAGCTTTCTTGGTTTCTATTGATTTCACTTGAATTTGTAAGAATCTTTGAAGTAGTACGTATACTAATTATTCCCGATATTTTGCTTATGCGAGTGCATTTCTGACACGCACCTCAGCAATGTTCACCGATCGGAGGCAGAGCAGTATTTGATTTATTTTTAAATTCGCCCAAACGCTCACGCGACGTTCTTATACCGTCTTCATCGTTGCAGATTTCGGGCAGGACTGAGAGCTTTTTGCGCTGTACAATTAACTCAGCACTATTCGGGAGCACTTTTTGCTTGATTTCTTTACGAAAAAAGTTCATAAAATATTTACGAATTTTGTTAATTTTTTAAAATTAGCAAAAAAAAAGAAGAGGAACACCAAATGATCTTCTCATAGATGTCACCTCTTCTACATTAGCTTTGTTTCTGAGATGAAGTGATTTATTTTGCATATCACTCACTATATATATTTTTATACATATATACATATACAGCTATATGTATTAGGTTTAGAAAGGCTGTTATTCGTATCTCTTGTAAAATTCTATTTGTTCATATTTGTGTTTTCTAGTTTCTGGTATGTGGACTTGGCAAACGTTCTGATAGACAACTAAAAAAATAAATAAAATTAAAACAAATTTAAAAGGAAATTAACTTTAGAAATTTTGTTTTTTGGGGTCTTGAACGCGGTTTCTTAATGCATTTTGAACTGATGCCATTATATGAAATTATTTTAGTAAATGCATTTTAAGTATTTTTCTATAAAACAATAATTTTTCTATTAACCCAAAAAGTATTTGCGAATATTAAACAATTTGTGAAGACAACATTATTAATAAAGTTATTTTTAAACTGAACGATTTAAGATATATATATATATATATATATATATATATAAATATATATATATATATATATATATTAGGAAAATATATTATTAGCGAATTAATTAATTAGACATTGCATATGAATGTCTTAAGAAGTTTAATATAAAAAACCCCTTAAACAATTATAATGTATTTATAATAATGGTATAATATAATAGTATAGTATACTTAATGCTTTTCACTCTAATTTCAACCTAGTTTTAATTTACATAGTTCTAGATCTTGATTACTCATCGACAATATTCAGCAAATTTATTCTGATATATGACTTCGTTTATGATATGGCTCAAGCAAATAAGAGGCACAATAGCACTACGTAAATATTTAAATCTTGGAAGAGAAGAAGAGGAAACCAACCGTTTCCAACAGTTGCAGTGATATGTGTATGCAGAGATATGAATGTAAGTAAATATTAAGTACACTAGGAAGTTTTAATTTTGTACTCTTTTAAAAAAGTTATATGTGGACTAGTGCCAAATTTTACATTTAATTATTTAAGTATTTTTTAATTCATTTCAGTTTTATACAAATTTTAATAACTTTGTTTAAACTTAAAATCCGTTTCATTACCATTTCTAGTTTTGTAGTAAATAATGTTGAAAAAATTATGTTTATTCTCAGTTATAACACTTATTTCTGAATGAGAATGATGCGGGAACTAATTATAAGTTCAAAAAAGATAAAGATATAGTATATGTATTTAGCTCAAAAAATAATATATGGTACATGCTAGGTATTTAAAACTAGAATGGGATCGAGTTCCTAGTCATGTCTATTTAACATTATAAAATTAATATGTAATACCATAAATAATAAACTTCAGTACCTACGGAAAAATTGGTCTAAATTCAATTTCATAGTTCACCCTCGATAGTCTTTATCATAAAACTAGTACATTTCACATATTTAATAATGATAGTACAAATAAATATATTTACGTATAATGTCAACAAATAAAAGTGAAAATAACTGTTATATTAATATGTAATATGTATGTAACTCTATTTTGACAAGGAAACTATACATTTTTTCAAACAGTTAAATTTGGTCGACACATACTATGTATATTATAGATTTTGGGGTTTTGAGTTCTAAGTAGTATAAACGGGCACAGATGAGAACATCACAAACGACCACTTTTACATTTTGGGAATCGGCTTACCTTTATTAATTCATGTTTGACGCTATCAGTGGTTATGTATAGAGTGTTGTGTTGTGTTGTATGGTGCAGTGAGTAACTGACTGTTTGATGAATGTGTGGGGAGAACTGTGTGAAACTTTCAGTACCGATATATTTTTTTTCTTTTTCGACCCTTTCGTAGCAGTGTTAGTAACAATTTCATTAGAAAGCGAAATAAATTAAATTTTCTGAAATATCATAGTGTTTTGTATTAATTATCATTAGGAAAGAAAATAAAGTTAATCTATGTGATGACCTTTGTAGGAAGTAAACATACTTACTTTGTTGTTTTTAATTTACGTGCTGCGGTTGCTTCCATGATTTCGCTTGGCAGTTCAATATCTTCACGATGTGGTTCGGCTTCGTCTTCTACATGAGAGAATGTTACCTTCTTATCAGATGGTGCTGGAGATGCTTCCTTCTTAATAGATGATTTAATTTCGATTTGATCATTTTTTTCAACAATATCGACAGGATCGGGTTCGTTGAGTTGTCCATCAACACTACCCACATCGCTTTCTTCAGCGACAGGAGAAAGTTGAGATTTTGCTCTCTCTTTATCTTCTTCAGAGGACGTTGAGTCTATAGATGAGATTGGTGCAAGCAAACTTAAACTTGGTTTTTCTTCCGTACTAACATTGAAATTTTCTTCCTCACTACTACCCATACGATCCAATGGTAATGGTTTATTTGCATTGGCGATGTCTTCTAGTGCTGAATTGTCTTGGTTCACTAATGATTTTTTTAAAGCTTCCACAGAAGCCAATTCGAGTATGTCATTAAGTTGAGATTCAATAGTTTCAGGCTGATCAATTTCTTCGTAAACATGTTCTCTTCGTAATCGTGGTGCTTTTCTTGGTCTAGTTGCTTCTGCATCTGTTTCCGTTTCAACTTTCGTTTCACTTGCGTCTGTAATATCAATCATAACAACTTCTGACTTTTTACTTTCAGGCTTATCAGATGTCGTTTCAATTTCTATGATTTCATCTGGTTGTACTATTGTAGTGTTATTTTCTGCATGCTGTGCTACATCATTACCACTGTCTACATCTCTATTATCAGGTCTATGCTTACGACTTGGTGATTCATCTAATTCAACAATTTCAAGTACATCATCGGAATCCTGCTTCTCAATGAAATGTGGTATTTCTCCACGATCAGACTTGGGTGACTTTTTGAGCTTTAGTATTTTCGTTTCTTCACCCAAAACTATTTTTTCATCCTTTCTGAGAGTAATGCGCTTTATATTAAGCCGTTTCTTTTGACGATCTGCCATACTCTTTAACTTTTTCATGATTGGATAACAGCGCTTTTCCTTGTGCTGTGGTGTATTTTCGTTGCTAGTTAATGGTTCTGCTTCAATGTGCTCCTCACTTTGTCGTCGACTTGTGTTTGTTGAAGTTCCAGGCAGTGATTGTGCGTCTTCACTTGAACGTCCACTTTTTCGCCGCTTGAGTATACCACGTATTTTATTTAAACGATTCGATTTTCTGGGTTTACCAACAGCAAGTACTGAGTCTGACACACATGAAATGCTTTCACTGTGTATGCTGTGGTTTTCTTCGTCGTCTTCAGTTAATGTTTGGTGCTTTTGATCGTCTTCTTCGTCTTCAGATAGATCTTGTATATAACGCTCGGCCTCTTTAACTAGTACTTGCTCGTCAATGCGAACTTTTTTCAAAGATTTTGGTGATTCTGAAGTAAAACGCAATTCCTGAGATTTCCTAAGTAATAGTACTATCTCCGGTTCCTCATCTGGACCGAGCGGCCGTTTATATAAATGTGTCCAAGGATAACCACCCTTTAAAATATAATATAAATTTAATAAATATATCAATACTTAAATTTATATGTAGATAAAGATTTTAGAATACATTTTCTTACTCTTTACTTACTCTTTCTTTCGCACGACGCAAATCCTCCCACTTATAAGTTTGTAATGGCACTGGTGGTTTCTCCGTGCTGCTTTGGATTAAGTATTTCTTTAACGATTGATAATATTCACGTTTACAATCTTCAGCAAGTTTTTCAGCATCCGTTTTGGTGTCAATTTGTGGTAATGATTCAATAAACAGTTTACGCGCTTCTACTTCTGATTCGTTTTTAGGCGTAGGTACATCTATAATCTTCAATGCTTTTTGTGTTTCGATAATATTAATATTTAAGTTTTCATTATTAATATCACCGTTTAATAGAATATCTTCATGTCTGGTATTTTTCTTAAGTATTCCAGTTATTTCTGATATATGTTCATCTACTTTTTGAGATAAGGTGTCATTGGGGTCGTCCGCGCTATTTTCCAACTTCAGTTTGTGCTTATTTTTATAATCTGCTTCTTTCACTTCATTCAAAGGACTTCCAGTCTTATTTTCGGCTAGTTGTTGACTAATAGCGTTAAGTGCTTCACGCTCGATTTCGCTAATTAACAGTTCTGCAGTACGTTTTATTTCATCATTTGCTTCTTCTGTCAATTCAAATGCTACTGTAGTTCTCTTAATTAAGGAATCTGATTTGTCTTCAATCTCAATGCTTAGTTCAACTGGATCAACATTCCCATTAACCAAAACCTTTTCAATATTTTCTGCATTCTCAACTACACTATCTGCTTTGGGGATTCTTGTATCGACAGTTTCGATAGCCTCATCTACATCTACATTCTCAACTACACTATCTTCTTCGTTGGTTCTTGTTTCGGCTATTTCGACTACTTTATCTACTAATTCAGCAGCAGCGCTTTCCACTTTCTGTTGTGCAATCGATTCAGCCGCATCGATTATTCCATTCAACAAATCTTCAGAAGTACTTCTTACTTCGCTAACTATTTTGTTTAAATCTTCAGAAGCGTTTTTAAGTTCTTCAGCATTAGAATTTTCTTCGTTACTTTGTTTAGTATTTTCCACTAGGATGACCTTTTCTTCTATAATATTAGGCACTTTTATACTTTCTTTAGCGATATCTAAAATTTCGTCTATTAAATCGTTCGCAGTACTGTTAATTTGATCAGTTATAATATTATTGTCTTCCGATTCAATACCTATATCTGCTTCAATACCAATATCTTCGATAATTTGTGCTTGTACGGCTTGAATGCGCGTTTTAATAGGTTTTTTAATTTTGACACCGGCTGGCTCGACTTCGATTACTGTACATAAATTATGATCTGTTTCAACTTTGGATGAACCTAACGTTAATTCATCTTGTATAGGTTGTAGTTCTTTTATACCAACGCTTTCATCCTTTGCTTGATAATCATCATAGGTCTCAATCAAATGAGATTCAATATCAAGCACGTGTTCCCGACTAAACTGACGATCGTACAAGGGTGCGCTCTCAGCAACTGAAGCGCTTGGCAATGGACTCGATGGCGGCGAATTTATAGTATCACAACTTGTTTCCGATTTGGTATCACTATTATTGACTAGATTATCACTTGGTATTTGTTTCTTTTTTCTTTGCAATTTTACTTTTGCTTTGCGCTTTGGTAATTCTGCCGTTTGTGCATTTGTCGCTACTTCATCCGATCGTTGATCTTCTATTTGCGGGGACTCTGTATGTGCTTCTGTTGCAGATTTTTTTGTCGCTACTGAAGCTGAATCAATTGTTTCCTTCACTTCATTAACTTTATTGAGTAGAAGAATTGTCGGCTGATTGCTCTCATTCGTATCAGCGCCGGGTAATGACACTGAAAATATCGAAAGGGCATAAGATAGTTTATTTTTATTTAAAAATTTTTCTAAATAGTAACTTAAAATAGATTTCAGTGAAAACAGTGCATAAACGTAGATACAGACATAAAAATGTATTTTCTTATTTAAGTACAATTACGTAGAGAACGTTTACGTATACAACAAATACTAGAATAAAATATTACATAATCAACAGTTGTCGTATTAGCTACAAGTGATTTTTTGGATGCGTACTAAGAAGTCTACATAAATTCTGAAATCTAATAAAATATTTGTTATTAAAAAAATTATACCAACAATATTTCGTAATATCTAATCAAGAACGATATGTCTATAAATTTGGATTAACTTATGTTTTTAGAACTTTTTAAAATGAATGGGCATGTGGCGCATTCCCAATTCATACAAAGGCGTAGAGAAATTATTTATTTTACCGAAAGTTAGAGCGATCTCTAAATTATTTGTTTACATTTATTTTTTTTTGTGTATTACATTTTATATTTTTACAGTTTTTTTTTTTTGTACAGATTTGTTCGAGAATTAGGAAACTACTTTATCTACAACGATAACTGCTTACAAGCGCGACTTACAACTCCCGTCTGAATTTTAGGTTTTACACAGGAGGCAAATTGTATGGGTTTTATTAAGAATCAGAGAATAACCGGCTATAAAAGGAACTGATCAATTGCAGCAATTGCAGACGATCAATTGCAGCTTACGGAAAATGTTTGCGTTTAACCTTTCACAAAGGAAGCTCCTTCCTTCTTACAATAAAAACTGGCTACAACTTTTTCGAAGATCAAGTGCAGTTCACAAGCCTTGTCTAAATTAGATCTTTCGCAGAAAAAGGCCCAACAAGCAGATTTCCTAAAGAACGAAGCACCGACTTGGATTACAACTGTCTTTGACGTTATCGACAACCAAATTCAACTTACAACATCCACTTGATTTCGAGTGACTTCGACTGCAAAAGCGGGTAATTACTTTTTTCATTCGCATAAGTTAATTCCATTTGATTGATATAACAATCGTCTTTAAGCTATAATTTTTTCTCAGTATTAATTATAAGTAATAACAAACTAGAAAATATGTTTTTATTGGGTCCCGCACTCTACGCCCATGTGTCGGCACACGATTAACAAAAATTTGACATCTGGCCAAGAAAAGCTCTTTTAAACTTTGGTCCACAGTTACGAAATATCAATGCACGATCATTAAAGTAATTTTATGCGAAAAGCAGGCCAAAATACAATTTGCATACTGAAATATGCGACCAAATCTGAAATTTGGTCTGGTTTTAGTTATGCCAAGTGCAGGCAAGTCTAGCTGAGGTTCAAGTTTTAGTGCTCACTCACTCACTACTCACTCGTAGCCTACTTCATTTAACCTTGGATCGGAATCTGTGCAACTTTTTAATCGCTCAGATTATTACAATTCATTTTTCTTGTGCAATATTTTATAATATTGGAAAACTTTTATAAAAAGTCATTTATATTTTATTTTAATTAATTTAATTTACCCAAAGTTTTTCGTCTGCTTTAATATGGTTTTGCCAGTTTTATTTTACGTCCTGCGTAATGTTTTCTTTTTATTCTTTTTATTTTACTTTATTTCTAATAAAAGAAATATTATCAAATGCTTAGATATATGCAATATTTCTCAAAAATATTTCAATATACTTTTACGTATATTTTTTATCAGATGTAAACTTGCACACACACGGTATCTATTCGTACTACTCGTCCACAGTCCATTCGGCGTACAAATTTTGATCGTACTGCGGTCGAAGTTAATTTTTTGCAGGCAACTACCGAAGGCGAGCAGGCGAGTCTCTCGGTTTAGCTTTTTTCGGTTCTTAAACTTAAAACAAAAAATTGTTTTTATGTATATTTATATTTTTTTTATATTTTTGGTTAATGCTATTATTGTTTGAAATTGTTGTATGTATCTTTAGTTGTATCTTTAGTTGGCTTTTTGTGTATTTAGGTTTTTCTATTTGTTGCAATAAATCTACGAAATTTGTTTAGACGCCGAAGAATTTGTGGGCCTCGCGCGTTGACTCACGGACGTTCGAACGGCAGGAGTGGAACTGTTTTAGCCGATTTTGTATACTCAAGATTATGAAAAAGTTAATATAAATTTTGTATGTAGACATAGTTTGTTTGTGTTTAATAATGAAACAAAATAAACATTAAATAAGAAATATCGAAATTTGCTCTAATTTTTCGATCCGAATTTTCATTGTAAATGTACACCTCTTGAAAATCTGTACGTGAAGACATTAAAAAAAACTAATTAAAAATTGATTTAAAAAAAAAATAATTATGAATGCTTCTGCAATTCATTTTAAGTTTTAAAAAAGAAAAAATGTTTTTCATTCATTAAATTCGATTTTATAATACTTTTATGAATTATAATTCCATCCAAACGATTATTATCTCTATAGTTCTATTACTTTCAATTAATTTCTCTTGTTTTTTACAAATTTATTTATCTTATTACATATCTCAACGTAGTAGTATAAAGGTTTATATATAGTTAATATACATGAATCACTTTATCATCAGTGTTGGCTATTGGCTATTACAAGCTGTTACAGGTTAGAGTCTAATAAGCACAGCCAATAACCTTGATTTTATTATTTCGGATACTCATGATTTGTTAGTCCGCTTCTACAACGACCAGTCATCGATTCCATAGCTTTTATTTAGACCTATAGCAATCTTGTTCTCTTTTAAGGGTTTAATGAGAGCGATGTCATGTGACTATCAAAAAACCAATAAGTTTATAAACTTATTAGATTGATGATTAATGGATTTTTTTTTTTTTGTTTTTTTATTAACGATTCTTCAAATAAGACAAAAATCGTTTTAATATTGCACCTAGTACAAATAACAAAAAAAAAGGTACTAATAAGTAATTTGATTTGAATATTTAAGGTAAAAACAAAAATGAAGCTATTTTGCTACTCGCTGTCCTTTAAGTCTGCCACTGTTTTCCTTTTTAACCGTCTAGGTATTGCAACCACCTGGAGAAGACTGGATGCTGTAACGTTGACATGTGTTTTCAATCGCTGTTTGTGATGATTAATGGATTGATCAACTATGCTCGTGGTGCTTCTATTACGCCCAGTCATCGATTCTATGGCTTTTATTTAAACCTATAGCAATCTTGTTCACCTTTAAGGATTTAATGAGAGCGATGTTATTTGACTATTAAAAACCAATAAGTTTACAAACTTATTAGATTGATGATTATTAGGTTGATGAACTATGATCACGGTGCTTCGCTCCGTTCGGAGACGATACCCTGTTTATTTATATCTTATTAGATCGATGCTCTTTTATATGACTAAAAAAGTCAAGTATTCTTAAAGGAATGCTGTTCATGTGCTAGATGCTTCGCACTTTTAATTTTAGGACTACTTATATTTGTAGAAATGTGTAATGGGTAGATTAACGTACCGAAGTCATCTGTCTACAATGATAAACTGTCGGTAACCATATTAGTTAAAGTGTCAGTGTTCGCAGGACTTTGCCAAAGATGCTTGAAACGTAAAGTGTAACATAAATAATAATAGCCAACTACTTTCGTATTAAGATAACTATAATATTTATTTGAAAATCACTTCTCTCCTTTCTCGCTTAAAATCTACTTTTAGATTCCTATTACTCAAATCTCATAATTTAAAGTTTATTTTTTTTACATACATTTCATTTCATAATTAAAATGTGACAATTCGGAATATTTTGATTCAAAATCAAATCACTATTAATATTTAAAATGTTTAATAGAAAAGAAGTCAGTGAAACTACTGAATAAAATATATTAAGTTATTTCTTAGGTCTGAAAATATATTTTGCCTATTTCCCAGAACTCAAGGACACTGTTAATTGTAGTCATCTGTGTTCGTTTCAGGATAGTTTTATAAATTTTTTTTTTATTTAGTAGAATGTATAATGATTATATCAAGTTCCCATACATCATTCTTATTAATGAAAGACGAATTAGTTTTCGGGACTCATTTCCTGAAAATCACAGGGCAGAAACAGATAAAATACTTTGAAGTCTCACGTTGAATTTCAAAAAATCTGTGTTATATCTTAAAGTATTGTATTGGGCAGATATCGTAAGCCAACGTTATAATGGAAATGTGTTCGAATAATTTTTATTAAACAATGAAGATATTTTACTACCACCTACTACTACCCATAAGAGCAGAAATATAACAAATATACTTTTTTACTTTAATTACTGTTTCAATCAATTATTTATAAAAAATATTATTTATGCTTGCTGTTTCATAAAGAGTTCATCTTCAACGAAAGAAAACTGTTTAAAAGATTCATTAAGAAATTAGTTAAAATAGTTTAAAATTTTAGAAAACTTTGGTTTTTAAATTGATATTGCAAGATATTCTCTAAAAAAATAAATCTATCAAAATACAAATGATATCATTTAAAGTATTTAATTTATTTATATTCTTCATAATTTAAATTATATATAATTGATGCGCTGAAATGGAAACCTTGGCATTGACTAACAACTACGCAGGCATTAAATAGAATTAAAGAAAACCATATATGTTGTTCAATAATCCATGAAAATAATTACTATGTTGATTATTTATAAAGAAAGTAGTTCATATATTTAGGTACATAATATATATTTATATGATGTTTATAGGAGTACATTCAGTAATAATTTCAATATGGTTAACGTGATGTTATTCATTATGAAATATTACTTCCGTACTCTTTCTAGAGGTGGCCACCGGTCTATATGCGTCTATATGGGTACGTCATGCTAGTATCATACTCGTAATAAAGTGATGAATTATTGAAAAACTGAATAAGTCTTTTATATAGTATTTTATTATATAATCAATTTTTTCAATTTTTCTCCAATAAAATACATACATATAACACAAGTATTTGCTATTCACAATGTGTGATGCTACTCGTATATTTCTTTTCATAATAATGATAAAATTATT